TTATGAAGAGTAAAAGATGAGGGAGGCAGAACTATGTTTCAAACCGCTGTAGTTTCTAAATGGTTAAACGAGGAGTCTCTATGACTTTCTACAGGATGTGCATGAGAAATACAAACTTCTCCATTGTATTTATTATTATTGTGTACAACTACCTCCTTTGCACTCAGTTTAATGGTGCTTGTGGGTGTGTTCCTTGGGCAGCCTCAGTCTGGTTTTCCTTATGAGCAGATTTAGGCAGGAGGGAGCTCGCTGCAGTGTACAAATAAGTTTGCAGTAAGTTGAGAGCAGGGCAAGAAMGTGGTGGCAAAGCAAGAAAACAAGCACTGCGGAGGCAAATTGTGGGAGAAAGGAGAAAGTAAATGCAGCAGACTTCTAGCCGCAGCGTTGCCCTCCTGCATAGGGGAGACTCCCAATTTCTTCTGATAAACCTGCATTTAAACAGGAAAAAAAAAAAAAAAAAAAAAAAAAAAAAAGCCAAAGCGTCCATGATTAAAAAGGAAATATTGACGCACAGGAGAGATTCTGCAGTCTCTAGTGACAACTCAGCCTTAGCTCTGTTATCTCATTAACTGTTTTCTTAGTTGTGTATTACTGCAGGGCAAATAATTCCCTTTAGATCAGATGTGTGTTATATTGCACTTGCATCTCTTGCTGGAAATGCTTTTTCTTTCATTCTTTTTCCTTCCTTCCTCCCCTCTGCTGCTGTTTCCCTCTGCTGCTGTTTCCCTCTGCTAGGAATGAGATGGACAAGACACAAGGCTGGGAAATGTCGAGGCAAAAGCACTTGCTCATTCTCCGTTTCGTCTGCAAAATCCCGTTAACTGAGACTAGTTGCTTTGCACAACTAATTGCTGCCAGGAAAGAGCAGCAGAGATGGAAGCAAGGAAATAATAGGTGACAAAAATTAGGCAAGTCAGACATGACAGAATCCGTGTGGATGGGTGGGAATATCTGCYGAGCCCTAAATCTGTGCAGTCCCGTCGCTAGTGCACTTGAGTTGTTGGCAGTGGCAGAGGGTGGGGAAAATTCAGGAAGAGCAAATACTGTTTCTGTAACATGGAGCAGAGAGACGGTCCCAAAGCTAAGCTGGCTTTGCTTTGTCTAGAATCAAATYCACTTCTAGAATCAATTTTACAAAGTGCTTTCTTCAGCAAAACRTTTCTCCTAGCAGTAGGTGCAGCTGGAACAGCAATCTTTGCTGCYGTATCTGGCATTTCATAAGGAAGATAAGGAAACATTGCCTAAGTGAAGCTGCCATTAATCACCGCCCAAATACCTCCTCTAAAGGAGCACATGAAAGTGAGGAAAAAAGAGGGGTAAGTCGCTAGAAAATCCCTCATTAGCAGTAAAACAGCCTGCTCGATGTACGCAGTGAAGGAATATTGGGCTTAATTCTGTGCCCACCATCCGTTCCCTAGTAGCATGAGCAATGGGAATGTTGCGTGCGGGTGATCCTGGGGGGATGAACACAGGCAGCCTGAGGCGTAGGAGCGGAGCACAGAGGACACAGGGGGTAACCTGCATCCACAGCGCTGGATGGGCCAAGGGCAATGAGAGCTGAGATGGGTGCAATAGATACCCCGAGGAAGGGGAGCTCAAATGCTCATATAGAAAATGCAGGAAAATGGCCAAGAGCAGCTCTGTAATGGGGTAGTGAATTTTAGTCACTTCAAGAGGACGCAAGGTGCAATTCTGGCAAATGAAACTTATGGAAACTTACTCAGATGGGACGTGCGTAACTTGAGTAACTCTGAATTCCCAGCAGAATGGGATGGCCCTTTTGGGTACTGCAGTTCTAAACCAGTGCAGAGATAAGAGGCCCCAAAGAGAGGGTGACGGGCAGTTCAGAGAATGTGGCGGTGAAGAACAGCTGAAAGAACTGGCTGTTTGTGGAACCTGCCAATTTTCTCTTTTCGTGGAACATGATAAATCTTTCTGTGCTTAAATCGTTCTTACAAAGATGAGAGTTTGTGGTAATGGTACAAAAGCAGTGAATTTGCAAGAAGAGAAGTGTAGGTTATATAACCAAGGAAATGATCATTTAGATTTTTTTTTTTTTCCTTATATGTGTGTGCACTTTCTTTTAAACTGTGCTGCTTGCAGCAAATTCAGTCTCCTGGTTGGGTTTTTGAGTTGTTAATCCTCCTCTTGCAAACTTTCTCTGTGGACTGGTGCGAGCCGGTGGCGTGTCCCAGGGGCTTGGCTGGAGAGGAAGGTGCAATTGCTTTGGAATAGCAGCTTGGATGGCATCAATTTCACTGGCATCTCTAGCTGCTGGGAAATGAGAGCCACAGCCCCGGAACATGAAATGCCCCTGGTGCCCTTAGAGCGTTCAGTCTTTTTCAGCCGTAGTGAGAGACCCTGGAAGGGTCTCATGAGGAATTAATTTTTAGGATTATTATTCTGTTTTGCCCATAGTCCTATTTGCAGCAGAGTACAGTTTAATCCTGAAGAAAAGCGGCAAACGTGTTTTGGTTTTTACAGCTGGGATTCCTACCTTCAATTTYGACAGTCAGAGAAATCCTTCATTTCTGGATTTGGGCCTTAGCTGCTGCCGGCCAGGGCAGCTTTTGCTCTGGAGGCGAGTTAGGCTGAAAAGGAAGAGCAACAGAACTTCCTTGTGTTTTTTTTGTATCACGTTTTTTTTTCCCTCTTTGAGGAAGAAATTTTCTAATCTTAACACACCTAAGCATATTGCCGTATTTAGTACGTACACTAAGTGTGTTGTACTGAGCTGAGAACAGGAAATACCCTTGGTCTGAGTTTGTTTTATGTCACCTTTCCCTATGTTCTTGATATATTAAATCTGTGTAAARTATTTGCTATCAGCACTGCCTGAAAGGCTTTAAATGTCAATCAAATGGATTTTTTTTGTGTATTTCTGTGTAGATAAATCTGTGGAAAGGTCAAAAAGGTGCTGGTGTTGAGTTGCCTACGCAGCCCAGCTCTCCTGCCTTCGTGTCCCCAGCTTTGTGCTGCTCTGTCCGCTCAGTGTCACCTTGCTCACCCTCTCTGCATTCGCAGCTGCTGCATTGATGGTTACATCGCACCTATTCTAATACCTTGTAAAAGCAGCTGGTGCTTTGGCTGTTAAAAAGGGGACGTGGTTTCGTGTTTTGGCAGTCACTGTGTGACTTTGGGGAGGTGGATGGGACAAGGGCTGAAGCAGGAGCCTGGATTTTGTACCTCACCCTGCGTGAACACCAGGCATCGCTGAGCAGCCCTATCCTGCTGCAGCCACTGCATGAGAAAGCTGCAAGTCAACTAAATACTTGATGCTTCTGCTGGAGCCAGCACTGATGGAGGAGGTGACACTTACCTCTCATTGCTACCTCGGAAGAGGGGTGGCTGCTCCTGAGCTGGTGCCTTGGAGTGTTGCGGGCTGAGCCGCAGCACAGAGCAGCCTGCAAGGCGCCCGAGCCTACACTTCTCCCAATGCCCTCGCCTCCAGTGRCACAACCAGCCTTCTGGAGCACATTACCCCGCTAAGAGCCCAGCCAAGGGCTGCTGGAATTCAAGTGCAGACAGTAGGATGCATTTAAAGCACAGTATTTATGCAGGCAATACCTAAGTGCTCCTTGGGGTGATAATTTTATGGTAAGAGCCATTCTGCATCCATCAGTTCTCAGCTTGCGCCGAGCRCTTACTTGGGGCACATTGGCAGCAGCCTCTGCTTTGGGAAGGACTCCCAAGGGCCGAGCTGTTGTGGGAGCTGCCAGGAGCAGTTGTCTGCAATTTTGATTGCAATTTTGGTTGCTTCCCGGGTTGGTTACTGTGCTGCAAAAATCTGCTGCTGGAATGTAGGGAGGCTGAAAAAGCAAGTTTCTCTTGCTCATTTTGCTTCCCGAGTTCCTCCTGCTCATTCTGCTTCTCTTCTGTGAGGTGATTTCCACTCCCTGTGGAAGTAACTCTCCACCTATATTCTACTTTCTACAGTCCCACTGCACTGCTTGAATTTTCAGCAGAGCAGCAGGTCACTTTCCCTGGAGACTGGAGCTGACTGACCCTGCGTGCCTCTCGGGTGAAGGGGAATTGCTGCTGTTAATAATTACTGCTTTGCACTGTCCTGGGYTAATTTGGACTTGCTGATCAGGATGAAAAGCACATATGCTATTCCTGCCAGCCAGCTCTGACACCCTTCCATTAACTGTGTTGGAAAATACACGGATCAGGCTATGTTTCTGCATGTCTCTTCCCAGTAATACTAGGGAATTGTACTGTGTTGGTTAGAACAATGTTTTCCAGCTGCAGTTTGCATTTAAATTTGTCTGAGCTCTGAAACTTTRCTGTGAATGATGGGAACCACCTGGTTCTTCAACTGGGCACTAGTTTAGGCTCATGTTAGTTGTCCCCCAGCTCCCAGTCGGCGTATAAAGGAAAATCTGCTGCTCCCCAGCTGGGAGTTTGGCTGAAGGAGTCACATGCAAGAGCTGCAGACCGATCTGTCCGTGCTGCCRAGTATTCCTGCGAGCTGAGGGGCTACCAACACTTCCATAATGTGAAAGGTCTGCATGTTAGCCAGCCTCCGTGGCTGCACTTAGTAAGGTACATGGTGGTTTTACTCCCTACCTTGTTCCCTTTGCTTTGCACTTTTATAATACATGAAAACTGCAGGCAGGTGATATTGAAGGGGACCCTTCTCCTGTGCCAAGCAAAGCTGAAGTCTGAGCTGAATGTGAAAGCTCAATACATGCAAAAGCTGCTTTACTCAACTTTGTGCATATATTTATGATATACAGTTAATTTTAGCTGTTTTGAATTTAAACTTTCTGAGGCTTATTTTTTATTCTATTTATCTTCCCCCAAAAGCAGAGAGGCCTGTGACGCGGGGTATTTGCCTGGACCCATACGAGGTTTTTGTCCCTGCGGCCCACAGGAGCGCCCCGAGAATGAACTGTGCACACAAGTGATGTGTGCACCAGCAACTGGTATCTTTGGTTCTTGTTAAGCATCTGTACCCCAAAAGCCAAAGAAATGACATCTGCTAGTGCAGTCTGTGTTCTTCAGAGGTATTTTCATGCAATGCCCAGCACTTCAGCTTTGCGTTTTGCCCTCGTTTAATGCATTGGCAGCTGTAGCAGATAAACTATGGGAGGTGTCATTTTGTTTTTCTAGAATGTGGATTGTTAGTTGGTGGATTGCTGTCTGGTATAGTTCGAGGTCAAAAATACAAATGGCAATATGCACCAGAGGCATTTCATATCCCGTGAGCATCTACACTAGATATTTATTTTGTATTGCCAAGCAGACAGCACAGAAACGTACTGGCTGATTTTGACCAGGACAATAATGAGGCACCCGCCTGTAAACAAGAGCGTGGGCCAGAGGAAGGCGAAGAGGAGGCCTTGGAGGGGATACAGTCTGCTCAGAATGGCGTTGGTCTGCGTTCCTCCCGGGTCGTAGTAGCACGGGAAGCTCTGGTACTTTTTCAGGTTGCTGGCGATGGTTTCTATTCGCGTTTTCACCTCTTTGGGCTTCTCGGAGTTGCCTGGGACATAGAAACACTGGAATAAAAAGAGGTGATTTGTTAGATTAGATCCCCTACTGAGGGATTTGTGGTGAAGTATGGCTGAGTAAACCTGACACGCTGCTGTTGATGGAGACCTTACTAATTTGGATAGCAGCTCTGGAGGCTCTTGCCCRTCTTGCGCCTGCTTGCTGTGCTCCTGTCAGGTGTCTGTGCCCAGTTTTGCAGGCCTGTAAACTCTCAGTGTTTCAGGAAGAGAGCTTCCCGTCCCACTTCAGGAGTGGAGATGAGCTGGGGATTTGTGCTCTCGCTCAGGCCACTGTTTAACTTGAGGCCTCTCCTGTGATAATTCATCAGGCCACTGAGCAAGCCACAGATCAACGTGATTTCTCACTACTGTGCCTCAGCTTACAGAACCTTATGTATACTTGAGTGTTTATACTGTTAATACTCAACTTCAGTTTGTATAACTGCTTCAGAAGTTTCACCTTAATGTTTGATATAATGTTTAAGCTCTAAAACTGTACATATTTTTTAGAAAATGTGAAACTGCCTTGGTTTACACCTAGTGTAAACCAGACTTGCATCCCTCTCCCATGAACCAAGAGCGTTAGATACCAGCAGAGACTGATTCACTGAGTTTATACTGCAAGTACCTTAGAGTTTCTGTCCAGTGTGTCTTCAGTGCTATACAGCAAAACCTCCTGGCCCGAGGCTGTCAGGTTAACCCACACCTCTAGACAAGGGTACTGAAAGACGTCCTCGTCCTCCGAGTCTTCGCTGGGCGAGCAGTGGTTTCTGTCCTTGATGGTGGCTTTGAGCACCTTGCACACAGTTTCTGTTGTCCAAACGCTGCAGTGAGAACCCCAAATATATCTCCTGAGTAAGTGCCCTGGAAGGGTTTGGGGACCCATCTACTAGTGCTAGTTGAGAGTGGGAGCGTGGAAAGGATTCATGACTGCTTTTGGTGGGGACCAAATTGACCGTTGCTTCCTTGAAGATTTACTCTATGCTTACTGATACCATAGTGCACTTCTGCTTACACCATAGCTTTTGCCGGCATAAAAAGCAGGGAAATAGTCAAGAAGGTTCCTGTTTTTAAACAAATCTCTTTTGTAAGGTAATCAGGAGGATAGAAATTATCCTGTTTTTAAAAACAACGGTTTCCATATCTCAGAGCCAGGCTTTCAATGATACTTTTTTTTCTTTTAATATGTTACTGAACTTGCCTAATGATGATATTGTCAGTTAGGAGACTGCAGCCTGGCTACTCAGAATATCATGGTATCAAAGATAACATTTATATGTGTCAAAGTACAAGCTTGCTGCTTTTGAGCTTAAAAATGCTCTTTGCCCCAAGAATGAAGTGTGTGCTCTGGCTTTGCCTATCAAGAGGAGAGTCTCCAAGTGTGGAAAGGATAAGCTCAAATGCCAGGGCCCGCTCGGGTTCACAGCACTTCAATCCTCCCAAATTGATTTTGCGTGTAGAGGGGGAACTCGTGATATGAATTAAAGGGTGGGAAACGCTCCCATCTTTGGGCACTACTCCTTAATCTATGCTGGCAGCAAGGAGGAGCAGCTTTGTRTTTGGGGGGAACCACCTGTCGTTACCTCTTGGTGTAGGAGGGCACGATGGTGATGCCGATGAAGAAGTACATCATCATGGAGCACGCGACCATGGCCAGGCCCAGGCACAGGGCCCGCGTCTCCCCTCGCTTCTGCGCCGTCACCAGCTTCTTGCCCAGCATGATTCAGAGTCAGGAGGGCTGAAATCTTGGATTCTGGGGTCAAATGGGGAGGGGAAAAAAACACATGGAAAAGCTGACAAGTTTCTGAAACATTATGTATCGCATTGGGGAACTAGCCCATTTCTAAACAACCGACAACTTAAGTGCTATTGATTTTTCACTTCTATTTTTTCCTCTTGGAAACCTGCATTTTTCCTCCCTGATACTTATCAATACTTATCAATACTTATCATACATTATGTTTAATCGTCTTCTTTTTCCCCTATTTTGTTTAGTGTATTTTGCATTGCTGCTTGTCGTTTGGCCTTGCCCCTCCGGGATGCTGGCAGCCTGTCACACAGCCAAGCGGTGGAGAGGAGCCGGCCCCATGGGAGCAGGTGGCCCTGCCACCTCCCCCTGCTTGCAGGGTGTCAGTGAAGCTCTCGGTGACACCAGGCAGAGGCACGCGGAGGGGAAGGCTAAAGGGCAGGTATGTTGTGTGCACAACACAGCACRTTTCAGCCTTGTTTTTCTGCGTAGAATGCCACAATGCCATAATTAGCTGCATTTTTAGAATTTCAGCTTCAGGCAYGTGCAGTTTATTTAATGTTTGTTCTTGCTGCCTGGCCTTCAGTACCAYGTGGTGCTTCTCCAAGTCCTGTCCACCAAGTGACTGGACAAGTTCCCAGACTTTTAAGTTTAGATGCAGTCTGAGATAAGGGCACGCCTAACCTAGCAAATGTGCTCTTCTCAGAACCATACTCTGTTCATAGACTGGTACTATCTCACCAGAACTTGTAACTGTTTGTAAAAGTAAAAATACAGAAGTGTGTGGACCATAAATCATCACTGGCAGCATAGTGCACCTAGGGGTTAGTTACAAATGTTTTTGTCAAAATATATATTTAAAGTAGATAGGAGAACTGCAAATAAAATACCAAATAAGGTGTTTTGAGGCCTCCCTAGGAGTAGGAGTTACTGGTGCTGGAGCAGTGAATTTTGTCCAATTTCATGTTCAATTCCTGTTTAAATAAAACATCAAGCTCCGGTGTGAATTTTGCTCGCAGCTGTTTGAGGGGAATTGTTTCTCTGATCATGTATAATTCACTGACATTGCGGGAGGCATTTTGAACTGGCAGTTGCTGTATAAGGAGGCGTACCTGCTCGCTGGCATTTGAGCTGTGTGCAGAAACCCCGTGCAGCCAYGTAAGCTGATCGGGAGCCTTAAATAAGCCTGGGTTGTTTTCTTGGTGCCGGGGCTCTAAGTGGAGCAGCCGACAACAAGCACGGGTAGCTCCGTGCACAGCTCTATTCCACTATTGCCCCATGGAAACTGCCRGCCTTTCTTTTCCTTCTGTGTAGAAGAAATGGAAACACGAATGGAAACATCTTTAAGAAAGAAGCTATGTAAAATATGGATTCACTGCACAACATAGCACTAAATGTCCAGTCACTGCTGCTCTGCGTCTGCAGCATCTGACTTCTTTTGCTTTTGTGCCCCTTGGTCGTGGGGGAAATGGCATAAAGTAACTGAGGATGTTGTGAGCCCTGAGGCAGGGGCCGTGGAGCGTATGGTGGTAGTTACAGTCACTCATAACGTGGTGAGGAGCTAACGATGGACACGAGAGCCCTGCTGCGCTTCCAGGAAGCGCTCGGAGCGGGACGATGCCTCGTGTATCATCAGGAGGTTGGGGAAAACGCACGGGGCCCTTCCCATGCTCTAGCCCAACAACAGTGTTTCCAGTTAGTCCAAGTCGTATCTCACTGTATGGAAAACGATCAGGAATCACCGGGAACTGTAGGTGCCACTTGGACTGCTTGGAGGTTGTGTGGGCCYTGGCAGAGGTACCAGGTGCCTCATTCCACCTGATCATCTTATGCTGCCTAACCCCATCCGTGGGAAAAGCGGCTGTTTCCCCTGAAACCCGGAGGGGAGGGAGGCCAAGGCCTTTCCCGGCCGCGCTTCCCCGGCTCGGTGCAGGCCCTTCGCACTCCTGTTCCTCATTCCCCTGCTTCCCGAGACATCTGCTCCGTGCCGGAGTGAATAAGGACGTATGAATTATGCAGGGCCTGCTAACAAGAAAGACTGGTCTAAAAATACTTCGGTGTGCTCCTATAAACACGGGGGATGAGGGGCTCGCTCTGCAGGCACGGTACAGCAGCGACGTGGCTGGGACCACAGGCCTGGGAGCGGGGCCGTGCGTGTCCCGACGCACGTTTRGTGCCTCAGGTGAGCAGGGAGACAGCACAATCTGCAGCACTAATCCATCTGCACACGGAATTGCATCAGCAGAAAGCAGGGAGCACAGCGTGGGAAGCAGTGAGGGACCTGAGCTGGAGTTGGAGTTCTGGTTCTGCCCCAAGTCCGGTGTTTCCTGCTATTAGAGACACCTGAATGCTACATGTGTTTAGAAAAACACGCTTATAGGGAACGTCGCTTCCCTCCCATCTTACAAAGGTTAATTTTATCAGAGTGTAAATTCTTCTTTCTGTTTCTAGCCCTGCAGATATGTGTTAGGAGCAATGCTGAAGGCTCCTTTAATGACTTTATCCAAGAAAACACTTAATACTTGACAAAAGTTTCTTTGTGGAGGGGTCGGTGGCCTGGGAAGCCTCGGAGCATTCAGATACGCAGACATTGCAGCGAGCATCACGGCTTTCGCTCCTGCTTCGACAGCAAATCTAAATGCATCTTGTGCACTGAAAATTGCAGGGTGCCTCCATCATTATTAGGGAAATATAAGCTCCAAATCTTTTCATGATGTCCCCAATCTTTTTTTTCCACAGTCTGTTAAATTAGACAGTTCATTAGCTGGGCAATTTTGGTGCCTAATCGCTGCACTGACAGCTGCTGGTGCTGCTGCTGGGGTGACCATCTGCTGTACTCGGAAGCGACGCCCCCGTCCTCATTCGGAGGCATTTGGGCCTCGGGGACAGTTTCTCTGTGACCTCTGTGAGCGCAGGGGGACCTGCCTGTGTCCCAGGGGTGCAGGAGCACCCATTGGTAGCACTCGGGTGGCGTCTCCTGCACCCTCAAGCAGCAGAAGGGCTGCTGAGCTGTGCTGCAAACCCTGCAGCTCCCCTGGGTTACAACATCACCCTAATGTGCGTTTAATCWCTAGGAGGCCCCCGCAGGTTTCATCCCGATTTACCAGCGACTTGGCCTCCCTGCCTTGAGCTTCCTGGCTCTGCAGCATGTTGTGCGGGAGAACTCCTGCTGCCGGCCATCCAGCGCTCCCCGCACCACGGCTGCTCCCAAGGGAGAGAGGCTGCTCAGGGGTACTCACTGTTGTGGTGCGAGGCTGCCTTCCTGGAGGCTCTGCCGAGGAAGGGGCTTCTGCCACACCGCTGATTTGGGGYGAAATCCTTCGGTCAAAGATCAAGGAGTGGAGCTCCAAGTTTCCTCCTGGGTTTTCTCTTTCCTTCCTTCCGTGGGTTTCCTTGGCTGTGGCTGAACTTAGTTCTCCCAGAACAGAAACACAAGTTTTCTGTAACCATAAATGGTAAGGTATGAGCGAGTGCTGTCCTTTTTGAGATTAATTGCTGAAAACCAGGAAGCCACAATTCTTAGGCTAAGTACAGGGGCAGGGATCTTTGCTAGCATTCGTCTGGCTTCTTTTTTTGTTGCTGTTGGTGGTTTTTGTTTTGTTTTATTTGTCTGTTTTTGCACTAGGATCCCTGTACGCATACCTGAAACCCAAGGGCTTTGCATAAGGTGTTAGCCCTTCAGGTCAAGCTTTAAGGCAGAAGTTTGTCAATGTTTTCCTTTGTTTGTCTTTCCTCCTTATTTATTATTAACTAAGTTCCCAAAGTAGACTCTATACCTAATTTTTCCTGTTTTCACCTCCTTTGCTCATTGGAGAAGGTGGTGGGAGTGCTGCAAAGGTGACATGTTGTGTCCTGAGGGATGTGGGATGAAAGGAATGCAGCGCTGGGCAGGCTGGAGAGAGGACATGAGCAGTAGGGTGTGCTGGGGCTTAACTGCTTGGGAAGCATGGAGCAGAGGGCAGAAAAGGAGAATAAGGCCTTTCATGATTAAAATATGTGTGTGTGTGTGTGTGTGTGTGTGTATCTATACAGAGCTATATGCAAATATTTGTCTTTTTTGTTGTTCCTTTTGGTGAGCCTTCTTCAGTGCCTGGATGGGAAGCAGGGTGGCTCCAGACTGGAAAGGAGCAGGCAGAGGAGTCCAGGGAGCTTCAGGAATTCATGTGYGTGTCCCTGTAGGGACGAGCGAGCTGTTGCCATCGGGTCCTTCCCACTCCTGTGTGCAGCCTGGCTGCGGGRAGCAGGACGGGAAGCAGGGACGGAGGGACACAGCCAGGGCCGTGAGCTCAGCGCGCCTGCCGCGTCCCACCRTGTGGGCCTTGGTCCCCTCGGGCTCTGCAGCCAGCGCAGCTTGGGTTGTATTTAGACAAAAAGGAGCCTTCTCCTAACCTCACCCTCTCCTAGGAACAGTTAATATGTGCGTAATAAGTGTGAGTGACAACTAAACGATACGTGAAACCCCGGGGTGTCACCGGTGGGTGCCTTGTGGCAGGACAGGATGCCCGGCCCTGTTGCCTTCATGCAGCTGGGTAAGTTCGGTGATGCTCACGCCTTGAAAACCACACACTTGAGCAACAAACTGATAACAATGAATATTTTATTATGCAAAACAATTAGTATGAGTAGTAGCAAACCTTGCTTCGTCTCTGAGCTTTTCCAGTATTCCTCAGATTCCGCTGGGAAGAGAGTTGGGGAAAAATCTTTGGCAAGAGTAGAAGGTGKTTTTTTTTGTTTGCTCATTTGTTTTTCCCCAGTATCTGAGGAATTGCTCATAGAAGCACTCTGCTGCTGCTTTCTTCTTTGTGTTTATTTACCTAAGCCATATAATTGCTTGGTTTCTATTAGTGTGTGGGTTTGTTTTTTGAGAGGGAGAGAGGAAAGCTCTTTTATTAGGAGGCTAACGAAACTGATGTGAGTTAATCCAGCAAAAGCCTTAAGAATGTTCTGCCTGTTGMAAACAGGGCAGGATCCTTTCCACCCGCTTCAGGTACCTCATAATTATCTGCCTCAGCTTGCACTGCTCTTCCAGGCTTTCTTTGGAGTGAAAGATGAGCAGTTGATGTGTTCGGTAAGTACCCGCTGTCTGATGAAAACAGATGAATCTCCCCTGAAAGTCCCTTTTCTATTATTACTGATGCAGAAGAGAGCGCACAAAGCTGGCCTGGATTTAGGTAACTGTCTGTTAGACACTTATCTTTAAGTAAGATGAAGCCTATTTCTATTGTCTAGATYAGAAAGATTTATGATTGTAATTGCTTTTTAGCATTTGAGAAGTCATGTAGCAAAATCTGAGGAATGGAACTTGGAGTTGGAAAAACTACCCTGTGAACAACGATTATTCCCAGCTAAGATCACCGCCGGTTTGGTGGAGGTCTCCGTCATCRCTGGCAATTTAGAAAATAAGCCTAGGTGTTTCAAAGGTGCGAGCTCTGCTTCGTGCAGGAGTTGTGCCTTCACGGAGGARTATATTGGGAATGATACTTTTGGATTGTGCAATTACAGAAATGTGACTTTCTAACCACCACTTTGCAGGGGCCTTTCCAGGGGTTGCTTGGGGGTTGTGTTTGATCCCTTTAGCCTCTGGCAGTGCTGCAAAGGGAAGAAAAGCAATGTTATGGGGGCCTTTCTGAGCCACAAATACTAACTTTCAAATCCACACAAGTTTSTTGCCATTCTCTTGTTTCCCTCTTATTTTATTTCCAGTGTATTACGCTCTCTGGCTCAGGCTGAAAAAAAAAATGCTGAAAGGTGAGTAAACTTCTGGGRCTGTAAATAAGGCAAGTTTTTACATTCAGAATTAATGGGCTTAATGGGCTCCAGCACTGCAACAAGTTACTAGATGAGGAGAATTAAGATAAATATTTCTGAGGCATTATTTTCTCTGCTCGCATGCTGTAAGTGCTAAGTGTAAGAGGAGATGTGGGCACTCGTAATGTTTGTGGCTGGGAAGGAATGCAAATTGTGCATGCATTAGCATACAGGATTGCAGYGTGCCTTGGAAATAAAGATTAGAGGAGACTGTAAACATTATGGAAACACTAGGACAAATCACTTCTGGTAGGGGCTTTTTTTCCTATATTTTTCCCTGTCTGTTTCTGAAGGGAATATTGAGGTTCTTTTTGAGCACTCTGTGTTTGCCTATAGCCTGGTGGCAAGAAATCTCTCCTGGGAGGAGAGAAGCTCTGCAAGACCCTGTCCCTTGTGCTGCTGACATCTCCTGCTCTGCTTTGGCATCTTGGTGCCATTTGTAGCCTCAGCTCATTAGGCCGAGCTCTTTGGGAGGTCGGGCTGTTCACAAGCAGCTCAGATAAGCTCTCAACCAGTAGAGGCTAGAGTTTAATTAGGGGAATTTGATGAGGGCGAGCTAACCAAACTGTATTAATTCCGTAATTATTCATTCCCTGTGTTGTATGTGATGTATAAGCTGCATTTTTCTCCTGTGTAAACAGGACTGGTGCTCAGGGGCTGTCAGCTGGCTGGGAGCTGCGCTGCCTAACGGGCTCCCTAGGGAAGCAGCAGGAAAACTAATGGGCAGGGAAGTGCTGGAGAAATTGGGCATCGATTTGTCCCATCTCCTTTCTGTTCCTGATGGGGCCCAGTCATCCYGGGGTGAATTTAGGCAACTCAAACCCTTGTAGGGGTCGGTCTGGCCTCACGGTGCTTCTGGGKTGCCCACAGAGTGGGGTCAGCGCCCGTGGTACCCGATGGTTTCCCCCTGGGACATCGCACAGATGAAGCCAGGACTGTGTTTTATCAGATGGCCTCTTATGTGGTAGGTGGTTGCAGGTATCGGGTAGTTTTACATGGAGGCCATAGTTGATTTATAAAAATACCATTAGTTTGTGACCTGTCAGAACCGCCTTTTGCTCTACCGTGCAGAGCAGTTTGGGTTATACATCAAGAAAAAAACCTTTAATGGAAGGCAGGGAAAACTTTAAGGAAAGGCAGCGGCTGTGAGGCTGAGCCTCTCTAACAGGTATCGCAGTCTGATTCCCAGGGCTTCGGCAGCATCTGAAGAGTCAGCGAGCTGTGAAATGAGAGCAGCTGTTTGGATCCCAGGCAAGGCCGGCCAGGTTATTAACACCCCCCTTCCTAATTGCCACCGATTCATAGTGCTGTCCACTGTCATCTCGAATGGACCTCATGACAGGGAGATGCCGGGGCTCGAGTGAGGGCTCCTGTGTCTGCCCTGCTTCAGCACTTGCACTGCATCTAAAAGGAGGCCTTTGTCTCCTTCTCTATAAAATGAGAATGTTGTTTCCTTTCTTACTATTGCCAGGCCAAATATATTAATTAAATGTAATTCCTTAAAGGAAGACACTTAGTATGTTGGCTGAGTGCAACTCGAACGTAGCCTRGCCACTGAATGGAAAGTTGCTTCGTTTCCTCCTTGTACTGGGTAGCTCACCGAGCTGACCAAGTGCAAGCAGAGAAGTGTAAAGCAGCTTTCACAAAGCATCATTTCTGGACATGATGGTGTGTGAGGTGAAGTAACCCTATGGAAATGTTGGTTTTAAGTGAGTTGAGTAGAATTGCCTAGTAACAGGAAAAGATTAAAGGGTTGTAATGACTTTAATTAAAAAAAAAAACCTCTCCCGAAAATAGGTAGGAAAGGGTGACATTCCTTCGTTTTTCAGAATTAAATATATATGTGTGTGTGTGTGTGTGTGTGTATGTGTATATACATATATATATATTATATACATATATCAAGATGCTTTACATTGCTGATCCATAGCTTTTCTATATGGAAAGCTCACAATTTGTGACCTTGTCAAAGGTCAGATTGATACAAAGTATTAAAAGGAAATCTTCTTAATTTTATCCTTTTTTTGCAGAAGGCTCCTCTTACGGAGACTATCATCTACAAATAACAACATTGATTCTGCATTCCCTGGAGCAGTTAGATTTTGGTTGGAGTACAGCCCCAATTCCTAGGCCTTTTTTGTGTGCGCTTTACTATGCGCTTTTCATGAAACAAGATTACTCTGAGCTCTGGCTTTACCTTTGGGGCATTTCAAAATAATGTTGTCCCAAGTAGTTATCTGTAAATGTGTTTTAAGCTTGTGGAATAACTTCCGATGTGACTGAAAACCCAAATGAACCTGGGGTGCAAGGGGGAAACCAATGGCTTCTGCTCAGCAAAGTGGCTTGGTAGGGATCAGCTGAAGGATGCCCATGGTCAGTGGGAGAGCAGGGAACATGTTTGTTGTTTTATGTTTATTTTTTCAGATTCTCTGCTTCAGGTTTGCTGCTCATAGAGATATACAGGCTTTGGATGCTTGGCACACAGAATATGGGAGGGAGGTAATGAAAGAAGCACGTGGCATGAGTTTGGAGGGCACTGATGGACACTTGACTCTTAGAGTATCAGGAGCCTGGTA